CTCCACTGCAGCAACCCAGGCTCCAACATCTGCAACTACAATTTCTGAAATTAAAATAGGAACCACTGCTGGAACAACTGCTGGTCCCACTACCACAGCCACAGCCAGAGAGGRCACAACCATCATTGCTACCACCATCAGCACCTCTCCACCTGAGACAAAAGGCACAACCAACATCATCCCAACAACAACTGTGCCCACCCCAGCCACGAGCACTGCCAGCACCGCCAGGATCACCGAGGGAGGCACCACAAGAGCTTCAGCTAACTCTTCCCCAACATCTGCCACGACAGCCTCTGAAGGTAAAGTAGGAACAACTGTTGTCACCACGGCTGTCCCCAGCACCCCAGCCACTGCGGGCACAACCATCATTATTACAAGCAGCAGCACCTCTCTTCCTCGCACCATCACTCCACCTACAACAACAGTGACCACCCCAGCCACCACCACCATCCGCGTTTCCAATACCACAGATAACTGTGTGGTGGAACGCTGTGCCTGGACGCAGTGGTTTAACGTGGACTCGCCTGTTCCRGGCAATGAAAATGGAGATATGGAGACATTTGAAAACATCAGAGCTGCAGGCTATCAGCTGTGTGAGAAGCCACAAGACATCAAGTGCCGTGCTAAAGATTACCCTGACAGAATTGTGAAAATAATGGGACAGAAATTTGAATGCAGCGTTGAGAAAGGGCTTGTCTGCAGAAACAAGGATCAGACTCTCAAGTACCCCACGTGCTTTGACTATGAGGTCTCAGTACTTTGCTGTGACCACAAACCATGCCAGACAACAGTAGCACTCCCAGAAACCACTGTAAGCACCACTWCATATTCTACAGCAAAAACCACGACAGTGGCAACCCAACCTGCTGCAACAGAAACTCCTGTTGCCACTCTTCCACAGCGAGATATAACAACCACTGTAGCCACAAGTGCACTATCAACACAAGAAACCACCATCATCACCACACCCTCAGTGCCCATTCCAACCACCAGCACTGCCAGCACCTCCAGGATCACCACAAGACCCTCAGCCACCCCTAATCCAGGAGAAACCTCCACTGCAGCAACCCAGGCCCCAACATCAACCACGACAACCTCTGAAGGTAAAATAAAAACCACAGTTGGCACCACAGCTGTCCCAACTGCCACAGCCAGAGAGGGAACGACCATCATGGCTACCACCACAAGAACCTCTCCACCTGAGACAAAAGGMACAACCAACATCATCACAACAACAGCCGTGCCCACTCCAGCCACCAGCACCGCCAGCACCTCCAGGATCACCGAGGGAAGCACCACGACAGCCACCGCCACCTCTGCTCCAAGAGAAGCCTCCACTGCAGCAACCCAGGCTCCAACATCTGCCACGACAATTTCTGAAATTAAAATAGGAACCACTGCTGGAACAACAGCTGTCCCCACTACCACAGCCACGGCCAGAGAGGGAACAACCATCAT